GTGCGTTATTACCAATCCCATATGAAGTTTCGGATGCAACATTGGTGGGAGAGGCAATAGGAGCGTTTGTTGCATGGATGTCAAGGCTTGTTCGCATAGATGATGAGGTATAATTAAAACTGTTATGAACCTTTTAGTACTCAAATTTTTTACGTTCGTTTTACTTACATTTTTTTTGCATGGTAATGTTAGACTCCTACAAAACCCAAACCAAAAGATAAAGGGATTACGCGGCCAGAGGAGTCAGTGACAGCAAAAAAACAGGTACAACAAAGTTATATGATATTTATGCTTAGATAATGTTAATTTGTCATCCTATACTTGACCACTCTAATTTTATGATATTTAGATTATTCCTGCTAAAGAGATTGAAGCTGTAAGTAGGGGTAAGGAGCCTGTAATTAGCAACATTCTCACAGAAACAAAGAGTGTTGCTAAGAGGTCCGGGGCTAGAAAGAAAACTACTTCACAATATAGGTCGTGCCTTCAGACATTTATAAGCTTCACAACTATTTCGCAAGGTGGTACTTCTCTTATACCCCTGCATGAAGGGATTTATGGTTCTGAAGGCATGACAGCAATTGGTAAGGAGGATTTGGAACAAGTTTTTGGACACTTGACATTAGGCATGGCTGTTATCAATACATACATCAGGTATACTCCAATCAACTATGTTTAATTAATTGAAGAATTTATTTACTCATTTCAATGAATAATTAATGTTAATGATGTTTTTATTTAAGGTTTCTGTATGACAAGTTGATTCGCCCGCGTGGATTGGACTCCAAATTCGCTTTCATAAATCCCAACATTGTCCACGCAGGGTCAATAATCTCAAAACCAGATGAAGTAATAGCATTTGTGCTCAGTTTATTTATGGCGAGCAAAGATACAGAAAAATTGTTCTTTCTACCATACAATACTGGCCCCAAGTAAGATTTTCATTCTAAATTACCTCTATTATAATTTTTCGTTTTTTAACGTTGTGCAGAAAATTTCCATCTAACCTTTGTTTAATATTCCAGTGGACACTGGTTATTGGTTGCAATTAATCCTGTGAGAGAAATTGTATATTATCTGGATTCATTGGGCAATGATTGGACAACATACTCAGATATGAAGAAGACGATTGACACGTAAGTGACATTGTTCCAAAATATTATTGTGTATATTTAATTATTTATGTGCGATAGTTCTAAATATTCGTTATTATTTTATTATAGCATTCTACAAAGTTTTCGAGCACAAAGAGATATTCAAGTACCAAGGAGTAGAGTCAACAATATTTCTTGGATCAAAGTGGAGGTATAGATTTTCACTGTTTTGATTATATAGCGATGATACTTGATAAAACAAGTTAAGGTGTATATCTTGATGTATATCCGTATTTTCTTTCCATGTGTAGTGTCCTCGTCAGCGTAATGGTGTAGATTGCGGTTATTTTATGTTGAGGTTTATGAAAGAAACTATTCTTTTGGACCGATTAGAGATTCCATCCACGGTATGAATTTCTAACTTAGGAATTATTTTCATATTTCTCATAAAATGACTTAGTATTTTAATTAAATCATACTATGTTATATTATTATGTAGTACTTTGATGAATTCAAGTGTGCTTCATACTCAAAAGATCAATTGGATGAACTTATGGAGGATTGGTGCCGATTTGTTATGAAGTTGAGAGTTTTATTATAAGGTATAACTTTGAGTTTTGAGAATATAATATATGTCGTTATAGTTGTGTTACAATATTATTGTTTTTGTTGTTGTTGTTTGGTAACTTGTATGAATTTTGATTTTTTGATTTTGTTTTCGGTTATATAGGTGCAGCTCAATGTAGAAGATATAGTTATATATTCATCATGGATTTTGTTTCATTGTTGTATATACTAATGTTGTTGTTGTGTATATTGTGCAAAAAGGAGTGAAGAGATGAATATTGATGTAGTTATAATATTGTTTCATTGTTGTATATACTAATGTTGTTGCTGTGTATATTGTGCAAAAAGGATTGAAGAGATGAATATTGATGTTGTTATAATATTGTTTCATTGTGGTATATATTAATCTTGTTGTTGTGTATATTGTGCAAAAAGGATTTAAGAGATGAATATTGATGTTATAATATTGTTTCATTGTGGTATATAATAATGTTGTTTAAAATGTTATAATGAAGCTATAATTTCTGGTGCAAAAACGGTGAGAATAAATTTGATAGGCAGCGTTTTGTTTTAAATGAAAGCGTTGTCTAAAGTGATTGAAAAAAAATAAAGAAAAGCGCTGCTAAAGGGGGGTAATAGACAGCGCTTTTCATGAAAACGCTGTCTAAAGTGATTGAAAAAAAAATTTTAAAAATAAGGAAAAGCGCTGCTAAAGGGGGGGGGGGGGGGGGGGTAATAGACAGCGCTTTTCATGAAAGCGCTGTCTAAAGTGATTGAAAAAAAAATAAGAAAAAGCGCTGCTAAAGGGGGGGGGGGGGGGTAATAGACAGCGCTTTTCATGAAAGCGCTGTCTAAAGTGATTGGAAATTTTTTTTTAAAAAAAAATAAGGAAAAGCGCTGCTAAAGGGGGGGTAATAGACATCGCCTTTCATGAAAGCGCTGTCTAAAGTGATTGAAAATTTTTTTTTTTAAAATAAGGAAAAGCGCTGCTAAAGGGGGGGTAATAGACAGCGCTTTTACAAAGCGCTGTCTAAAGTGATTGGAAAAAAAATATTAAACAATTATAAGGATAAGCGCTGCTAAAGGGGGGAATAGACAGCGCTTGATAAAAGCGTTGTCTAAAGTTCCATATTAAAAGCACTGTCTATACCTTTAGCAGCGGAGGTTTTAGCAGCGCTTTTAAGCGCTGTTAAAGGCCTAAAAAAGCGCTGTCTAATCCCCTGTTTGGCATAGTGGGTCATTGAGAAGATATTGAAGAGCCTTTATTTAAGTGTAGTAGATTGACAGTAAAACTAGTGTAAAAACCGATGAATTAGGATTCACCCAGGCTAATCTTCGAAAGACAACTTATATGAATGAACCATTCATCATGGCATCCCAAGCAAAATAAATTATTATGCCAGTGTTCATTCTAACAAAATATGGTCAATTAATCTATAAAGAAATCATATTCATGATAGTGATGAAAAACCAAGATTTAGATTTGAGATCCCTTTTTTTGCAACACATGTCTCATCTGGAAAAAAATGATTCAGATGATGTGCATGCTATTCGTTATGATCATCAAGAAGGGATATGAGAAAACTAGTAAGTAAATATTATATATGACTTATATATATATATATATATATATATATATATATATATATATATATATATATATATATATATATATATATATATATGCATTCAATTTACATTTGTATACTTTTTACTAATATTTATTTTTTCCAACATGTAGAGATGTCAAAGGATACCATATGTTGCATGATTTTAGAAGTAAAAGGCCGAAAATTATTACCAATAAAATAAGGGTTATTATTTGTGATATTTGTATATGCTTATAAATTATTTATATTAGTTGTAGTTGTTGATGATTGTTTTTGATATCGAAGTTTGAATGATGTTGTTTTTGTTGTTGTTGTTGTGATTGAAGTTTGAATGTTGTGGTTGTTGTTGTAAAAATATTATTTTTGTTAGTAAAAAGTTATTCTTGAGATCAATGGTTTAAAGATTTAATGTTGTTCGTTTTGTTGAGGTCAATGGTTGAAGATTTAATGTTGTTATTGTTGCTTATTATCCCAATTAGTTCAAACATGATTCTAATTATAGGTGTATAACGATCGGTGACAAAATTCACAAAAGAAAACTTTTGGACAGGCATTCAAGAATTTGCATTTTAGTTTTTTCTTTTGTTGGTTGATAATTAGTTTTAATTTTGTTGTAAAAAGAGAATGTGTGTTATTTTAGTTTTGCAGTTGGTGTAAACAATAAATATTAATTATATATAAAAATGTTGTTGTTTCGCAAATAGACAATTTAGGTTCTATTTATAATAATATAGATTAAAAAAATATAGAAAAATCAAAAATAATAATAACAAGGTTTTTTCGCTCGATTATGTTACTAAACCGAGATAGTAAGACTAAGTCTATTACCTCAATAATTATTAGGCCGAGGTAGTAAAACTAAGTTTATTACCTCAATGATCAGTATAACAAAGGAGAAAAGTGAGACGCGCAATCTAATTTTGAAAATACAAAAATATTACTGTTGAGGATTGAACTCATGACCATTATGACTTTTCTCTCAATGTAAGAACTACTGAATGAAAAGTGACACTCTTTTTATGACATAATTTGTTATTTTGCATAAAAAATTGAAGTTAAACCTCATTTCTGACCGAAGGTAAATATATTTTTTAGTGTAGTGACTGAATAGTTCCATCATGAATAACAATATTATCTAGTCCGCTATTTCATCAACTTTGTGGAGATTTGTGCTCGCAATGTCGCATTTACCATGTTTATATCCTCTTGAGTATATATTGCAATTGTGGCCAGAAAATTAGCTTCCAAATTAGCTTCCAAGAGAGTAAAATAGAGGGTAAAATAGAAAATAAGAAGTTTGAAGTGTGAAAAAATATAAAAAAAAACAACCTTGCTTAGATAGCATTGTGCTTCTAGTGGTTGAATTTTAGCATGTATTAAGGAGAAAATGCATGTATGGATAGAGAAAACAGAAAATGTTGTGAAGGAGAATCACATACTATTAGTAGAACAAGATTAAATTCTACCATCCAGGATGTTTTGACAATTAGATAAAGTGTTTCTCTATAAATATCACATTTTAATCCTTTTATCTTTTTGTTTTATTTTATATTTATGCCATTATTATAAATAAAAATGTTTTGATACTCCTTTTCAAAAATAAAAAAGAGACTATATAGAACCTAAGTTCCATCCAACTCAACACTTTTAGTCCACTAGTTCATTCCTCTGCAAAGGTTTTGTTTAGTACTTGCCATTCTTTCCTGCCTCCTTTATCAGAGCATTGCTTATGCAGCCTTACTATGAAAATGAAATTCCCAATAATACCCTCTACCATCATCAACAACCACAACTCACCATTGATAATTCTCACTCCTCCATTCTCTCCACCCCTCAACTTCCCTTAACACCAAACCACATTCATCACCCTATTCTCCAACGTTATCACCATTCACATTCTCCACAGCACCGACAACAATATCAACAACAACAAGTAACATATTCTTTGAGTGACACTGTTGTAAACCGTTACATCGAATGCGAAGGAGTATCTTTTTGGTAATTCACATTTTCATTTATCATGGTATAATCAAGATTATACAGAACGGGCAATAAGCTATGCGCGCTCCCTTTACTAATATTTGTGTTATATATTTTCAGGAAAGCATTCAACAACACAGTGCAACAAGAAAATGAAAACCAAACCGAGACATGTTTGGTTTCAGACAACAACTTGGACGAGCTTGAAGCTGTATACAAAAACAAACTAGGTCGGAGTGGAGACGATTCCAAGAGGAAGAAGATGAGAAAGAAGAAAGTAGTGAAGGAAGAACTGGGTATGATGAACTCGTTTTTGAAGAGGTTGGTGAAACGTGTGGTGAATCATCAAGAGGTTCTTCAGAATAGATTGTTGGAGGTGATTGATAGAATGGAGAGAAAACGAATAGAGAGGGAAGAAAATTGGAGGCGTGAAGAGAATGAGTTGTATGAAAAAGAAGCTATTGTGAAAGCTCGTGAGAGAGATCTTGCTAAACGAAGAGAGTCTTCCATTGTTTCAAGCATAGAGAAAATTACTGGTAGAAAATTCTTTTTTGTTTCTGACAGTACTCATCATAATTGATGTTTCAAATCTTAATCAACTATCAAGATTATTGTGTTTTTCTATGCTTTGATTCGGTTACTTTTAACAACACTAATTGAGTGTTGCAATTTGGATTCCTCATTAGTTTTTTTTTTTTTTTAATATTTAGTATTGATAACTTGAGTACTATTAGTAGTGTATGTTCGGTTTCACCGCGAAAATTTGTAAGATCACTATCCATCTTCAATTTGTGAGACGGATAGACGCACACGTTTTCAATTTGAAGTGTTGGCACTACAACATTGTTTTAGTAAAATGCAATTGTTTTTTTTTAATTTAAATTTCAACTACTTATATTCTTTGATTTGTTTGTTTTAGATTTTGTGTTATACATCAAGTCAAATGATAACATATTTTGCCATATATAATTGAATTAATCTACTGTTGTGTTGAATGTTGAGATTCTACTAGTATTGTTTAATATATAGAAACTATAGAATTTCATTCAACTCCAAACATTTTTCCATTACATTACATCGTTGTTTTTTTGGGATAAAAGTTTCACAGGTTGATGCATAATATACACAGATTAATGTTTCTATAAGTTTAGTCCAATTGATAACACAAATGCTAGCACAATCCATCCCACTAGGAAGTATCCAATCAGTCTGGTTGGTCCAACATCCTCAGGTTCCTGCCATGAAAAGTGGAAATATTGTCATAACCTATCATTTAAGTTAGTGAATGTTACATAGTTCATTCATTCAAAATAATTGTAGCAAAGTACCTGTGGTGGAGGATCTCCTTTTGGAATCTCTGGGACATCAACCTCATATGGCCAAATAAATTTTTCTGTGTTACCTTCTCTGGCCAAACTCCAGTCATACATTCTTCTTTCATCTGGCGATGACATGATGGTGTATGATTCCTACACAAATAAAGGTTACCCAAATCATCACATCACTGATAATCATTATGCAAATACAAAGCAATTTTAATCATATATAAATATATGAAGTACTGACTCTGAGAAGTTCCAATTTCTTGTTGAGTATGTCTTTCTCTAAACCTTGACTCTCGATTTCTCGAACCTTGTTGTTATACGCAACTGGCACCATGTCATAGGAGCATCCTCTTGGTATGCCGAGTCTACCATAGTGATCTGCATCTGTAATTGCTGCATTCTAAACCATATCTTCATCAATTCAATGTTGTTTTAGGCATATAATAACAGCATCATTAAATATGGAAAACTTACGTATACCACGAAGAGCTCTTTCTACATTGAGAGTAGAAATTAAAGAGGATGATTCCTTTGGAAGTTCAATAGAACTCTCCGAATCTACCTCTGTAGCTCCCGCAGAGTTTTCACTGGAGCTTCTTATGCGTAATCTGGGTGGGAAATTGAGAGGAAAAAGAAGGTTAGTTTGGAATCTAAAATAGGGTGGAAGAATGTTGTTAGTTGGAAATGGAATGCATGATGATGTAGTGGTAGAGGACAAGGCCATTGGTAAGTGGAGAGTAGTATTATTTTTAATGTAACATTATGAAATGAAACAAAAAGCAGTGATGGATGAGAGAGAGATAATGTAAGGAATGTTTGCCACAAACGTGTTATCTTGAACATGGTGGTACGTTAAAAAATATATGAATAATAGACGATAGAAAATATCAACAATTGAGTCGTTGTAGTATAGTGGTAAGTATTCCCGCCTGTCACGCGGGTGACCCGGGTTCGATCCCCGGCAACGGCGTTTTCTTTTTCTTTTTCGTTTCAGTTTTCATCTCAAAACACGACGTCGTTTACGTCTTACCGTTACCATTTTTGCTCTTTTTTTTTGCCCTGCATCACCTCTTCTTTTTACTTTTTCTTTTTTTAATTCACTTTTATTCACTCTAATGTCACTAATATATTTACACTCTCTTCAAATTTATTTATTTATTTATTTATATTTATATTATAAATATACTAATTGTTTAATATTTTGCAAATCAAATATATTTTTATTCTCTATACAATTTTTATTTTGTTTCCTTTTTATTTTTAAATAACTATATTAAACAAAATGCATTCATACTAAATTTGTAATATACTAAATAAATAAGTTAAATATTATTGAGAATCAAATGACCTAAGTTAAACTTGGCAACACTCAAATTTAGTTTAATCAAAATTTAAAAGCCAAATTTAGCGAAATGAGTTTTAAAAAATTCATAAGTCATTCTTATTTGAAAACAAAAATGTCTCGTCTGACTTAATTTTGATGTAGGCTAATATTTCAGATGAAGCTCCTTTGATTTGCATCAATCATGGAGATATATTTCTAAAATTTGTGACGATGTTCTATGCCAATCTCCAGCGCAAATATATCGTGACTTGGTTACAAAAGTTTTGATTCGTGTTGGATTCGAGAGTTACACCTATATTGAGAAACACATTTTTAATATATGGTTAATCAAAGACCATGATGGAGTCTTGGTGCAAAGTGCTCCTCCTAAGACTACAAGGCAAACTCAACATCAAACACCTCAACAAGCAGAAACATCAAATTAAGTAAATATTAAAAATGCGAAAATAAAGTAAACGGGACACCAAGATTATAGAGGTTTGCTCAAATCAAAATGACCTACCCCTCTCCCCAAAACAACTGAGCTCAATATGGTTTAACATGATAACCATTAATCTCTTAAGATTTTAACAGGATGATCTTCTAGCCCATGATTTTAAATAGACTAACCATGAACTTAATGGTAAGTTCATCAATATTGATAAACTTCATCCAAGGTGCATAATCAACCACTTTGAAGAACTTATACATTTCTACCAATCCATAATTACATAAACACCTCACTCATAAAAAATATTTCCTCACAAAAGCATTTGACTATAAGAACTAGTGAGAGAAAGCGAAAATGAAAACTTGTGTGTGTGTGTCAATACACAATTCAATATCCAAATACTCTGAACCAAGGAATAATACCCTTGTTTATAGGGTTCAAATCCTCCAAAAGAGGAAACAACATTAAATAAAAAATGACTACTACTAATGGATTAAGCCAACCGATTAGATCATTTAAATATAACAGCCATGAGCTCTAAAATAGGATATATATATATATATATATATATATATATATATATATATATATATATATATATATATATATATATATATATATATATATATATATATATATATATATATATATATATATATATATATATATATATATATATATATATATATATATATATATATATATATATATATATATATATATATATAGCCGTTGCATATGATATGAGCACACTCAAATAGCCTTGTGCCTCAAGACAATGATATTCTAATCGATTAACACTAAGTTTCAATCGATTAGATCCAGCCAAAAAATAATTCTTGACTTTTTGAATGCTCTCATATATTTCTATGCAACTTTTATATAATTCCCAAGATTTATTCTTTTAAAAACATTTTATAAAAGAGTTTTAAGTGTGTGTGTGTGTGTATGTGTGTGTGTGTGTGCGCGCGCTTATAGCCATCTACTTCTATAAAGAAATAAATTTTGCTTTTATAAAAGTTTCACTCGCTTACTAAATTAGGACGAGTTCCCTAAGCATGTGTCTGATGTATTCATTGTTTTGACACTTTGCATGAGAAGGTTTCCTAATTCTTAGTCATGACATATATGCAAGATATGAAATAGTTATACAAATTAGAGATAATATGATATAGTGAAGAAGTATCATGAAGAATGTTTGTGATGTCATATATAAGGTTCTGAAGCATGTATATTTTTTTCATCTTAATGTGTGCCTAGCAAGAGTATCCATGACATAAGAAGTTTAACACTTTTGTGGGAGATAATATTTTCACTTTTAAATGTGTTACAAGATTTTTGCAAAACATATAATGGTGTGTCGTACAAATGTATTTAAGGCAAAATAAGATTGTAGGCATAATTTTTAAGCCATCAAGAATGTTTATACAACACAAATAAAAGACATTTACGAAAGAGAAAAACATACTTTATTGAAATCATAAAGGAAATGCATTACAAGAGAAAAAAAACTAATTAACAGAAAATGCGAGATAAAGGAAAGTACTTAAAGGGAAAAATAGAACGACGAAGGTAAAAGGGGCGTAATTTGAAAGTGGGGTTTTATTCTACTCTACTATTTCCATCACTTTTGGCTGTAAGTCCTTCTAAGTTTTTGGCTATGTTTTGGTAGAGTTCTAGGACTTTGTCAATTTTCGTGTTTTCCATTTCTGTTGATCTTTCTTCTTCTTCATCTTTGAAGTGTGAGTCTTCTACTATTTCTTCATTCCTGGTGTGTATTCTTATTTATTTTAGGGTGATAAGGTTAATTTTAGGGTTTGTTAGATCTTCTACTTCACAAGTTATGTCAACATTAAATATGGTGAGAAGTTTTATGACCAGTGGATCGTAAGGTAGTCTTGCTACTGGATTTTCTCTACAATGTATCATTTGTCTAAAAATTCTCTCTACCCAATTTGTTGGAATTTCTTAGGTTAAGAGCCACAAGGGAATTACATCTTCTCGAAGCAGTTATTTATCATCATGGGAAAGAGCATCTTAGGGAGCATATAGTGTAAGATTCTGATATTTGATTTAAGGTGGGTAGCTTTGAAAGGTACTTTTTATTTTCCATTGGATCAATTACTAACTGGTTTATGATAATAGCATGTTTGAAATGTTTGAAGCCAAAGGGTTTATCAAGGGTGTAGGATAATCCATCAGAGGGTATCTCAAAGGTTCTTTCAAAGTGGTCTTTGTGAAAGGCTATCTATACTCCACTCACATAAGTGATTAAGGCGGATCCTACAATTTTCAAGTTAATGTAGAATTCCCTTACTAGCTTTGGAAATGTATTGTCTGGTATCTCTGTGAAGAATCCTTTGAGAGAGGCTTGACAAATTTGGTGATAGGGTTTGTGACTTTTTAGTAGGCTTGGATCTAGGTACCAAGCTTGGATCATAACTCTTGAGTGATTTGATAATTTTTCTTCACGTTTTTCATTCAAGAGTTTTGTGGAAAGGTATTGAAGGTTGATAAGTTTCTGGGATTTTTGGTTTGAGGAGGTCGTGGTAAATTCTAAGAGATAAATTTTACTACTAGAAGGATGCAAGAAAAATATGAGATGCAAGAGACGGTGAGATTATGATACCTATTTATAGTGATACCTTTTGGGCTTGTGGGTCGAGAAATTTTAATGATCATTTCACGCTGTCTAAAAATCAGATCCAGAGTCTCCATATTTAGGTCTTTCAATCGATTGATCTAACCGATTAAATATCTCAAGTTTTCATCCTTAGATACGAATTTCATTAATGCTCATATTTTTTCTTCCTTGTGCATCAAGCTGTTTTGGATTGGATTTGAAACTTCACGTTTTTATAGAATTTAATCAATTAACATTCTTGTCAATCGACTAAATTTCCTTAACTGGCCTCCTTGGTGTTTTGGTTTGGTTGTTGGGCCTTGTTTCTTTTCTAACACCTCTAATTTGTGCTTTTGATACCCCCTAAGCTTTAAAACACTTGAGCAAACTTATTTTAAGGGTTAGAAATAAGTAAGTTCGAAAATATACAAATAGTATTTATTTAAAGCATAAAAGAGTTAGAAATAATTATTTTAAGGTGTTAATCAGATTAATTGATTATTTCAACCTTAAAATAGTTTTACTTGTGTCAAGAAAGAATTATTGACAAAATTTACTTAAGAAAGACACTTCAAAAGTGTATCCTTCTCCATACATCATTTGATACGAGAGTTGGTAAAATAAACAGATAAATAAGTCCATCACAGACCTATTTACTTTATTGATCATCATAGATCATGAATTGAGAAATTCTCAAATAATGTTACTTTGATCATAAATGTTGACATTTGAAATCGATGTTTATCTTTTATGATCAAAGACTTTTAAAATGTATACTTCTAGAGTATGCTTTTGCTTTCTTCTTCATATGATTTTTCTTTAGAGTTCTAGACTGCATTTCCTGCAAAATAAGTAAATATGTTAGTATGATTTTTATTTTTATCTCTTATCTTCCTTGTAGGGTGCCTTTGAGCATGATTTATCTTCTTCTTTTGGAAGACGAATCTTTATATTTCTTCCAAGGTTGAAATCTTTCCTCTTCTTTGTTCAACCGTTGAAGAAACTTCTTCATCTTCTTTGTTTTTCTTTGAACATGGGGTTTTCTTGATTAATTTTGATTTGAACTAGAACATGGTATGATATGAGTGATGATTTTCCAGTTTTGATTTTTTTATTGCATCAGCTTTTATGATTTCCTTCTTTCTTGATTTTCCTGAAACTCATGAAGGATTTCTATCTATAGATTAAGAGTTGAAAAAGTTTTCTAATTCTTAATTATCTAGATAAATATTAGTGGAAAAAATGTAAAAGTTTTAAGAAATAAGTTTCTTTTCCTCATGTGTTCATATTCTTTGGTTTGATACTCAGAGAGACTCCATATATCTT